GAACACAATTTAATGGATGACTCAGAGGAGATATATTGTATAATGGTATGATGTTCTGATAGCCAGTGATTTACAGCTACAATACTTAGCACGGTCTTGCTTTGGAAAGTCCTTTTATTGCTTATTTGTGTAACATATGGATACTTGGAATTTAAGAATATTTTCATAGAATAGTGTTCTAATAGCCAGAAAACAAACCAAACAAGCAAGCATGTAAGGAAGATCAGTAATCAAACTTGAAGCTACTCCTTTAAAATGCTAAGTTAAGAATGTCTGAGAATATATTGTATTGCCTTCAATCTGAATTTGAATAAAACATGTCTGGCCTCTGTGGCAAGCAGGACGAACTCTCCTCAAGGAGGGTCCTTCGCTGCCATGCACTGGGGAGGTCCACAGAGGTGAAGAGGAACCAGACTAATTAAGGTCAAATATATTTATTTCCCTTTAAACAAAGAAGTTTGTGATATAGAAGTTATAGTGATGGCCCATATAGCTGGCTTGGTTTAAAATCAATAACCTTGGTTGGCCTATTCTTAACAATTTATTTGAAATGTCAGTTGGAGGCATTTCAATAGATAGCGAGCATTGGAAAAGAGAGGTTTCATTATACACACCAGGGGCTATCCCACCCTCGCTTTCCATAGGGCAGGTTCGCCAGAGTTGGCAAGGACTGGTGTAAAACACAGACCTCCCAACTTGCCAACATGAGCCCCTGCATGCAGGAAAGCATCGCGGGAACGAGGACACACAGGAATCTGTACAACTTTCCTACGTCAACACTGAGTCAGTCCTTTTACTCTGGCTGAGTTACTAGGAATACCTGCTCAAAAACAATTAGCAGTTTATTTCACATTACATTTTGTTGTTATTGTTGAAGACAGTATTCTGGGGTTTATGTAGTCTGAGTGGTTTGGTTTGATTTGCCCTAATGGGTAGTGATGGTCATTAATGCTGCTGCTTTCTGTCCATAAACCATTAACTGATAACCAAGGAGAGCCTGAACAGAGAAATGACAAGTACAAGTGATGAAGGGCTGCTGGATCAGCCGAGGAGAGTGGCATGCCCGTTACATTACTGCACAGTTGCAGGGTCTTGCCTAGGCAGATGGACCTTTGGGACTCCTTTGGCAGGACTGGAACATTAACAGTATTTATGACACGCCAATATATCCTGCAAAGTGTCACAGACAACAGTTCTAGCTCCTTCTTGTAAAAGGAGAATAAATTACTTTATTTCTTCTCTGTGAAATGGTTCCAGCACCTTTTTGAAGCGCTTCTGTTACGTATTGCAGCTGAGGTGTTCACAAGAGTTACATGACTCTCGGCGAGATTTGGAAGAGAGGAGAATATGACTGACTGTATTCATATTGACGCCTCTTGCCCCTGAGCAGTTAGCCAGGATTGAAGGCCATTCCAGCTTGTTTTCATGAGGAAGGAAAATTAATAATAAAGGAGACTTTTTTCTCAGGTGCTCTGCTGCAGATCTGTAAAGAACTTTCCTCAGCTTTTGTGTTCATCAGTGCAGTGAGAACACGTAGCAGGAGACAGCCTTCCTTGCTCGCAGTTTCTTGTGGGTTTGTTGCCAGGCTGTATTCTGCCAAAAAAGCGTTCATTCTTGGCCATCTTCCCAGAGCCACAAAGGAGCTGCTTTCCTAGGTGGTTACCTGGCTTTGGGGGCTTTCCTGGTACCTGTGTCACGCTTTCCCTTGCTACATAGCCACCGACCTGTGCGGTGCAATGCTGTCTGTCTGCAGGCTCTCGAAAAGAGGAGCATTCGTTTATTCCTTTTTTTGGGAGACAGGCACACCAGCCTGAGCAACGGTTACTGGGCTGCACGAGAAAGGACCAGCTATTTCCTCTCATCCTGCTCTTCTCATGAATTAAAACCCACCGCTTCAGCCACCTGCACACCCACAGACTGAGCACTCATGACGTTTTACTCTCCTTCATAGTGTGAAGGTGCTGTGGTAACCCGTGGAGTCCTGGATTTGACTCTGCTGCATGTTGTACAAGGCACAACAAGGACAGAGCCTCTGCCTCAAAGAACTTGCAACAAAATGTATTTGACTTCAGCAGAAGACAAAAACCCCTAGACATGTTTTTTATCTCAAAGTTAACAGTCAGTTATCAAGCGTGGAAGTGGTGGAAGATTTGCAGTTTTATCTTAGTTGTTTCTGTAAGAATAAACACTTCATAAAACTTACTGGTTCTGCAGTTTTCCCAGCTAAGACTAATGTACACCGAGATGTTTGTTACATTTGTCATGTTTTACTTGTACCATGCATTAATCCAGTTCTCATCAGTAACAGGTTCTTCTACCTGCTCTGACCTAAGAAAAACACTCTGTTCTTATTGTAGGAAAATACTTCCACTGCATCGCTTTGCCACAGAAGAAACGTGCTGCATTTTTTGCTCTTCCAAAGCAAAGACTGTTTTTTTGCTGTAGTTTGATTAGTATGAATTTAACATAATTCATCTCAATGCTTTGTTGTGCTTAAACTCTTTATGCTAACTTTTTCAAATTGAGTCTCAAATTAATGTGATACGGATCTAAGTACTAACCAGACCCATCCTTCATGCTTTGCCAATGGTATTCTTCTTTAACTTGCTGCACGGGAAGTGATTGAATTCCTCAAAAGAGCCATGAGCTGTCTGCATGGCCATTACTCTAAAAGATTCTGTTTTCATTTCTAAAGCCACAAGTGATAGTTCACATGGAGGGTACAGGAAAGAAAGAAATGTTGAGGAAATGCAGTAAATGAAGTTTAGATCTGTCGTTCTCAGGCAGTTGTGCTTTCCATCTGTGCATTTCTTTGAGCTGCAGATAAAAGTCCAGCAAAGACTGACTCAGTTCAAATGGAAGGCATGTTCGGCCAGACTCTGCTCAGAGGGTGGATGAACGGTGCAAACAGCTGGCAAGGAGAATCAAGGATACTCTGTAGTCATCTCCCTTTCGGTTTGGTGATGTGAAGCGGTGAAAGTATTAAGTTAAAAGGACAGGTTTGAGAATGTACCATGGATTTTGTTGCAGAACTCACCAGCCGTGCGCTGCTCCCCTCCAGCTGCTGGGCTGCAGCACGAGAGCGTTCCCAGAGCCCCGGTGGCTGGATGGAAATCTGGCGTGACTTCGGCGCTGGCGGGAGCAGCACCAGCCCGCATGCGGCATGCAGGCACCCCAGTCACTCCCGCTGGAGCCACCGGGGGAACGATGCCTCGAGCTCTTGGGTCAACACCCTGCCCTGCAGCTCCTCCGAGATCCCCGCAGGGGAGCGTGGGGCTGGCTCAGCCCCAACCTGGGACATGGTGGATTTTATCCAACCTGTCTGGAAAACTGCTGTGGTGGCTCAGAATATTTGCTGACTTTGTAGATGCCGGGGTAACCGGCTGATGTCAGGGAGGGTGCCACCTGAATGGGTGTGCAGCCCTTGGGAAGCACCTGTCAGTCAAGGCAGCACTTCTGGGGTGGGTGATCGATAAGGGGAGAATGGAAAAAGGCCAGCCGCCAGCTGGGAGGCTGCATCGAGCACGGGTGAGGAACAAGGCAAGAAACGTATTGACCCAGACCTGTGAAAAACAGTCCAAGGATGATTTAAGAACCTCAGTGAACACATTTGCCAAGAGAAAAAGGAGCAAATACTTCTTTTTTTTTTAACCTTTTCAAACCACTGTGCAACCCTTTTTCAGCATACTTTGTAAGAACTGTTCAGATGCGGTGTGGAAAAAAGTTGTGACTGCCTGCTCTGCCCTGTGCGGTGAGCAGTATCAATAACCTAAATGAACTAAATGAGCTAATGTTCGGGCGATTTCTTTGGGAATGTTTCTCAGCAGCAGAAGGTGGTGCACTGGATGGCTAACAAGCTCTTCTGGTCTAGAGGGACAGTCTGAGTCCCCCAGATGGATGCAGAATGTGCAGTCTGCTGAACTGCCAAAATGTCCCTTTAAAGACACAAGTACATCCTAAAGACATCTCTTACAGCCCAGGTAGTGAGCTGGAAAACTTCTGCAGAAGTTAAGGGGAAGGAGTATTTTCCTGTGGCCGCAGATGGCAACTGTCACTTTGCCATTGCTGCTGTGACCTCGGATTTCCGAGGAGTATGTGCTGCTCCCGCAGGAGCAATGGGTCTCTGCTGGCATACCAACACACTCCCTCCCACTCCTCTTTGTCCTCCCGCGTGCTGGTGGCATGGAAGCTCATGGACCTCATTGCCCTCTCTGAGGAGGTGGATGGACATGAGATCCTCTCAGAAGAGGAACAGCATTGTCTCACACCAGCTGGCTCTCTGGTGGTGGACAGGACACGCTTTCCTCCATTGTCTGCCTACCACTTCCCAGCATCTCAAAGCCACAGTCTCCTGTCAAGGTCTACATCTGCAACCTCATCTGAACCACAGGCAGAAGCCACTTCCCAACTTCACTGGCCCCACTGAGTTTTGTTATTTGGAAAAATAAAGCAAAGCTGTCTTCTCGCAAAGAGACGAATCCAGTATCCCTGGTACCCTACCAAAAAATCCCCACTGCCAACAGCACTTGCCCTTCCCGAAGGAGTCAGTTCAGACCTGGGTGCAGTTTAAAGAATGAGTGACTCCAGCTCAGATGGGAGAGCTCAACAAACCTTAGAAAAGTTTGATCAAAATTAAAAGAAATCACCCAAACTGGAGTTCTTAAGTTACTGTCGTCTTCACAGCCTTTCCTGTATGTCTAAAGCAAGTTGCTTGTTTCAGCTCTAAAAACCAGCAGATTGTGAAAGGGATTTTTGTTATGTGGTACTTTTTGGAGTGCAGATATCATACATTTTTTCTATTTTGTGAGAGCTGTTTGTTCCATTCCTCTCATTTATAAAAGTTTAAAATCCCTGTCACTGATAGGTGCTGAACAAACCCTGAAAGAGCTGGGGATTTTGGTTCCACTTTGCTTTCTTACAGCCTAGCAGTACATTCATCTTTGGCTGCTTAAATGCAAAATGCTTGTCAAGTGTGTGACATTATCTCATTTGTCTAACAGGTGAGCTGCAAAGTGCTGCAATTCTTTCACCAGTACATGTTGGGCTGCAACTACTTCTGGATGCTCTGTGAAGGCATTTATCTTCACACGTTGATTGTGGTGGCAGTGTTTGCTGAAGAGCAGCGTTTGCACTGGTATTACCTCTTGGGCTGGGGTATGTATGTTAAAATTTGTAGCAAGATGGTCAATTCTTTCAGCTGTTTGAATTCTTCTAGCACTTATACACCTGAATTGTGTTTATACCACTAGATCATAGCTTAAGATTGAGTTCTTGGGTCCTAAATTTGAGTGCATTTATTTAGATGGGCTTAGAGACTTACAGAAATCAGCAGAGTCAGTCCATTATGTGCTGCATCTTGCGATTTGCTGAAAGAAATGCTTGAGTTTTGTTAAGCAAAGTTTTGGGAGGGAAATAGATTTCTATCCAAGCACATTTCTCATCTGAACAAAAATTGTCTATTTTTGTCACTTTATAAGAAAAATTATTAATCTGTGACAGTGCCTATAAAAGTGTATTTATTCTGGAATGAAAAGGAGGAGAATCAGTATCTATGTCTCCCAAAGTGAGAAAACACAGCACGTAGAAAGAATTTCCCTGGAACTGAATCCAGTATCAGACATACTTTGGCAGATGTTGTTTTAAAGGAGAAGATACAATTTTACCCACACAGGAGTAGATAATTGCTCTGCTCTCAGGGCTGAAATAAATACAACCAATATGTCACAGTGGAGTGCAGTCTCTTTCACATTTAAATCACTATTGTAAATCCATTCCATATCAGTGTTGACATAAAATAATTATTAAGAGCTTTTTCCCAGATTGGGAACCATGAATCTCTGGCCTCATTACAGTTTCTGGTGAGCCACTCCCCATATTTTGAAACCACTGATGCAGCTAAGCAGTGAATGATGGACCTTTATCTGCGCTTAGGGATGTTCAGTTGCATTCACCTCTTGCAGTCCCAGTCTGAAGCAGACAGAATTTACTCTATATTTTTCATCCACTTTGGAGATGTTATACTTGTTCAAGATTATTTCATTTACAGCAGGAAAATAAAAAATAGTCCTACTGCTTAAACAGAGAAAAATTAGGAATTACATAGATCAGAGAAAAATTACCCAGTTCTGAATGTTTTGAAGAACTTTAGAACTCTGACTTCAACTACTAGTTAGGCACCCAATACAGGTCCTAAATAGGCAGTAACAGCAAAGTGGAAAGTTGTTCTTCCTCTATTTGGGTTTTCATTTAATAGCCTAGTAACTTACTTTCCTCTTATGTTCTAAGACTTAGTGCTCTCTGGATACCTACATTAGATATGTAGAAAATTAGCATGATTTTCTAGTTTATATGGACTGTAGTGCCAGGTAACAGTTTCCAGGCATGTAAGGACTCTTCTTCTTTTTTTTTTTTTTTTTTTTTTTTTTTTTTGTAAATGAGAATGCCATCATGCACTCTCTTATCAGAATGGCATCTTTTTTGAGAGTGCTCAGGGACCTGTCATGCTCTTGGAATTAAAAGTGGAACATCATCAGCTCCTAAATGAAGGCAACCTTCCCAAAGAACCCCAAATTAAATCAAGGTTTCTGGACTATCTGTCAATCCAAATAGCTGAGCCCTCTTGGAGCAAGCAATGTGCTATCACAAAGTTCTCATAATTCAGAATATTTGAATATACAAAGTCTTGTGAGGCTCTGCTTTTGAAATGGCAGCCCCATGTGAAGAGTCATTTTAAACATTTCCTTGCCATTTTCATGACTTGCAGCATAAGCCTTCACAAAATAATGTCATTCCATATCCAAGTATGCAGGAGGAAAATGGTCATAAACATATTTTTTTCCAGTGACATTCAATTTAGACAGTGCAATTTAATGCAACTGGGACAGCTAGCCTGCAGTGAAAGCTTATGAGCTAGCTGTAATATTACAGAGAAGAGCAGTAGCATCATGGTGGGTAATTCAGTGAAGTTATATGATGAGATACCCATCAGTATCTGCAGCACTGTCAAAAAAATAAACAGGGTGGTGGCTGTGGTAATAGGATGATGGTATCTTGAGAATTAAAATGTTAATAAGAATGGACAAAACTCTTTGACTATGAAGACTGCAGCCTTTTTAAGGAAACTAGATGAATACTTCCACAAAAAAAGTAATCGCTAGCATCTCCTAACTAAGCTAGAAATCATTAATAGCAAAATGTTCTAATTAGGACTATTTGGCCACCTCTTAAGTTTGCATAAATCAGGGTAATTCCACTGATTCCAGAAGCAGTAGTCTAACTTTAAACACCCGGCTGTGTTAATCAATGGAGATACATTTCTCCAAAGGGCAATGCAGAGCAAGCAGAGCAGGTTGTGCTCTGAATTACAATTCAAAAGATCAAGGTAAATGTACAACACAAGATGAATGTACTCATTATTCATTGTTATAACTAAACCCTATGCAAGAAGATCTAGATTATTTTATTTGGAAAAATCACTAATGGCATTTGTAAAATAGCTTTATAAGAAAAATAAAAATCTGAGCAAATATAAAACACTTTTGCAAAAGGTTTGAGATGATTGAATGGAATCTGACATGGACAGATGTACTTCAAGGCTGATGCCTTCAGGTGACCCCTTCTCTGGGCATTGCTGCTGGGAATGTCATTTCTCATTTGTTATTGTTTCACTGGGTCAGGAAATCGCCCTTATGCAGGGCAAGAAAACAGTATCAAACACGGGCATCCAGCTACAGTCCACTCTGTCTAGCTGCTTCAGGCAGCTCCATCCACATAAAACTGAAAAGGGAATCATTTATTTGGACAGTGCTGAAACAGGTTGCTTTCCAAATTCAACTGGAAATACAATTAAGCATAATTGCCGGTTTGTGCCATAAAGGACCTGGCATGACCTAAAGGGATATATCACACTTTTTCCTGGGATGGCTGGGGTGAGACCTTTTCTACGTTGCTCACTGCTCACCACGTGTAGGTGGGACCCCTGCAGTGATACATGTTGTGCCACCAAAGACCCAACAGGCCTTCTTGTTGCTCCACTTCTCATTGCCTCTCTGCCTTTTGGCCCTTTACAAAGGAAGAACAACATCTAGCCCTACGGACCAGCCTGCAGCTGGAAATTTGAGCTGTAGATGGTCATGAGCTTCTTACCCTATAAATGACTAATGAAAACTTTCCGTCGCGTTCTTAAGATTTGCTTGTGATTTTTTTGTGCCAAATATTCGAGGCTAATGCATTTAGCAGAAGAAAAAAGGTCCCTTGGCATCATTTGGAGTGCTCTAGTTGCAATACTCTGGGCCAGAGCTTTCAGATGAAGACATTTTGCTATTGCAGAAAGGCCCCTTAAAAATTGCACTTCAATCTGTCTGTCAACGAAAGTGTCCCAGACTTGCTCCATTTCCAACTCAAAAGGATTTTCTCAAGCTGTCAATCCCATAAGCTTACCCTGAGGTTGGAAGCTACTTTCTTTTTGTTGTTCAACCATGCACCATCACCCAAAAAGGGCATTCTGCACCCAGAGGCCAAGTCATCATTTTCTAACAATATATAAAGGAGAAGGCAATCCAGTTTGTTCTCCCACAGCTGCATTGTCCTCCCAAGGTAAACTGCAGTAAGAACTTCTTCTGGCAGTAAAGATACCTGGAGACATCAGAGTGTCCTATCTGCATACTTTTTTGACCTTATTGTCAATCTAGCATTGGCTGGCACGTGCTCTGAGGTAAGACTTCCCCAGATTTTGGCTAAGGATTCTCTGTCTCTTCTAAAAGTGTGTATGAAATTACCAACACCCAAAGAATCAAGGAGCCATGTCCTTCCCTCTGTGACTAATCACGGTGCCAGCAGGACATTTTCACACATTTTTATTTATAATTATAGAATATCCAAAGCTCAGAAGAAATGTGCATGGTTTATAGGGAACAGGCAGCAGTAATACCAAAGGTGTCCACAAAGCTCTCTGCACAGGACAGACGAGGCAGCAGATCATTGCCCCGCCGGCCAGCTGTCTGCATGTGCCGGGTTGTACAAACTGGGGTCAGTATCTTAGCGCAAAATCCCAAATTCCAGGTTTCTAGCCTATTGGAGAGGGACACAACGTACAAGCAAGCTGAAGGAAGATGGACAGGAATGGACCAGATTATCACTCTTAATGTCAGGCTGGAAATAAGAGTTTGAGGCTTCCAGTTTGTTAAGCACGGCATGTTCCCGAGCCTTTGGCCTGGTGCAGATTTGCTCCCTGTCAGAGCAGCGGCCTCCCCTGAGGCTTCACAGCTAAAGCAGGAAATGTGGATTTATGGTACCCACAGCTCCGCTCCCTGCTGAGGCAAACCTGCATGGGGTGGGCTTGGCTGCATAGGGGCTGGGAACCTGCATAAGATATCCCAAAGCCCCCATCCCCCAAAAACCTCCTGCCTCCAAACATTTTCTCTTGCCATGGGCTCCAAAAGAGCAAGTCCTTGCTCTGTTGTTTATTGCCTCATAACCTGGCATGCGAGTTAATGTGCTTCTCTCCTGCTCAGCAGTGATTTACATGGTTTTAACAAGTGTCCCTGGATTCCCAAGGCAATACTCCACTGAGAACGGGCTGATCCCTTCCTCCTTCCCACGCCGCCTGCTCACACACCTCCCTGCACAAGCTGCAGCAGCGCAGGGGAGCCTGGCAGCAGCTTTTTCTCGCCCCAGCAGAGCATGACCTGTGGGCTTGCTTGTCTTTTGGCCTGCCTTTAACGTTATTCCCATTCGCTTCTCACCGCCGAGGTAACGCTGGGGCCCCGAGTGCAATGGGATTCAATTCCCTGGAAGCTGTGATTTCACGTACATGTGTCTTGTGGACAAGAGGCTTATTAGTGTCTGTGACACGTGAAATTCAAGCTGAAAAAATGATCTATAACTTTAATCATTTCAGGGTTCCCTTTAGTGCCAGCATCTATTCATGCTGTAGCAAGAGCCAAATACTTCAATGACAAGTGAGTAACATGTCTGTTTTTGAAGGAATTTATCATTATTTAACTGTGTAACAGTTAAATATGTGTAACACATTTTATTTGAGTTAATAATAAATTTTAATGGTGTATTTCCCCTCCAGCTGCTGGATGAGTGTTGACACATACTTGCTCTATATTGTTCATGGACCTGTAATGGCAGCTTTATTGGTAAGAATATTACTCGCTATCAACTGTTTCATAATTACTTTAGAAATGCTGCTAACCTGTATAGAATAGAAGTTTCTGTACTTTAAGTGTTCTGGTGAAAACTCAGCTAGATGTTTTCTCTACTCAGTGTTAAGAGGAAGGTTCTCAATACTTTTCAAAAACAAGTTCTGAAAAAGAATCAGATCTTGAGGCAAACAGAATCACCAACTGCTTTTGGAAATCCAGGGCAGTCATTCTCGCCTAGCGTAACTTGTTTGTGACAAATGTACTACATTTATGTGTCATCAGTGAGGCATCTAGCTATGCCTTAGCTGGGGTGAGCGGAGTGCAGGTCATTCAGCATGAGTTTTACTGGTCACTGAACTGGTACGGCCCAAAGGCAGGGAGCTAAACTAGTGCAGGGTAGGGACTGGACTGAGCTGAGTAGGAGGACAAGATTCAGAGTGCAGCTGGGCAATGGGTACGCATATAGCATGTTGTATTCCAGTGGTGTTGTTTGGCATGGTAATGCTGACCTTCCTGAAAGGTGCAGAAAGGGTGTATTCAACCCAAGCCTCAAGCTCACCTCAGTCTGTCACCCAAGATGCACTTTTAGCTTTTGAGCTGCCTCTTGCTTGCAAACATCTGCATGGACATACCTGCAGTAATTACCCTGGAGATCAAACAGTAGAGCGGTGAATGCTGGGAACATCTTTGAATACCTTTGAATAAAGAAACAACCCTCCATCTAAAACCTGAAAATATTTCTACCCTTTCTCGAGAAGCAGTCTTGCACATCAGCATTGTGAAGAAGCCCATTCCTCCCTGCCATATAGACAGTCTGCTGTTCCCATAAAAACACATCTGTTGTGGGTTCACTGGATCAGTCTTGATTGCTTCTGCTGTTGTAATGCCAGCTAACTTCTAGGAGAGGCCATTCCGCCTTTATTTTTATTGCCATGCTCCAAGTCTGTACATCTTAGCCACACAGAAAAGGGAGGGACTGTTTTTTTATGGAAAAAGAACAATCCTTAACTGCTTCCAAAATAAGGCATTATAACTTCTGGCTTGTGCTTATGCCATTTCCGATCTTATTTTTCTTGTGAAGATGTCAGTGTCTACAGAATGTCCTACATGATTTGCTACAAAAATCTCATAGTGACAGACTGATTCAGAAAGAGCTGAGGATTTTCACCTTTGTAAAGTCTTTTTTCCACTTTTCACAGTTACTTCCAGAAATTCTAAAAGTGAAGGTTAAGCAGAGTGAGTGAAGTCAGAAGAGGATGGCAAATCATGTTTAGATTTAATGTTGAATGGGACCTCAGAAGTCATTTACTATTCCTTTCTTCCAGTAGGGCATAAATGTAAAACAGTTGAAAGGTCTCTCAGTAGTTAGGAAGTGATGAAATGCTTTACTAAAGCTTACTGATTCATGCTCTATTGTTCTGAAAGATTCAACTGAAATTTCTCGCATATCTGTGGAATTTGGGCTACTAAAATATCTAAGTTATGCAATTTGCATACTTCTGTTTAAAAATAATCTGAAAGAAATGTCTATTGAAGTTCCGAAGCATAGTGGCCCGATATTACTGTAACAGACTGGAAAAGAGTGATCTGGGTACACTGGAGAGAGAGAAGGCCTAGGGTGTCCACAGGGAGCCCACTGGGCTTGGATCTGCCCTCCCTGTTCCTCCGCCAGCCCTCAGCACATCCAGCAAGGAGCTCTCTGGGAAGCCAGGGTCAAGAACAGGTTTCCGTATGCTGAGCACCTACAGTTGGAATCAGATTTCCAGAAATGACTGAGGAGATGAGATGCTGAGCTACTCAGTATAGCTGACCATATGGGTTGGGGCCAAAACTTTCTTAAGCTGTCTGCCATTTCTGCCCCGAGCCAGCACATGTTCACTTTTACCTGTGGGACATGTACCACGGGGTCCATGCAGACTGGTGGAAGCAAAGGGTAGCCTAGGTTTTTCTCAAGAGCAGCCTTGCCCCCTGCTCATACACAAGCCTGAAGTATTGGCCCATGTAAGCTGGAGCACATTCCTCAGAGAAACTGTGTGCCCCTATAGGTCCCAGATGCCCAGGGACATGTTGGAGTTTGTCTGACCAGGCTGCAGACATCCTCAGTGCAGACTGAAGCAAGATACCTAGGTGACCTTCAGACTCGGAAGAGAGACATGGTTACTCCTTGGGGACAATGCGTCCACCCCATTCAAACTTTAGGCATAAAAATGAGATTAATTGTTCCCTGGAAATCCTACATTTTCCCATATCCCTGTCAAAACAGCCAGTGCTTCCTAGAACTGATCCTTGAATGTCTGAAACATTCATTCAGGCTTCCTAAGGAAAGCATGTAGAGCAGCTTAACATCTCTTTTCTGAAGACATTCAAGGTGCTTTCCAAGCCCTGACTCCCAAGGAGCTGCCCGCTATGAGCTACGATAAAGCTAGAAAGTTATATTTTACTGCCATTTATGTGTTCTGTATGTTTATTTTGAATGTCTGTTTAATTTGAATGCTTTCGCCTATAATGGCTTTGCTTTTGCAGGTCAATTTTTTCTTTTTGCTTAACATCGTCCGAGTTTTGGTGACAAAGCTAAGAGATACCCACCGTGCTGAGTCCAACATGTATATGAAAGCTGTCAGAGCCACTTTAATCCTGGTGCCCTTACTAGGAATTCAGTTTGTTATTATTCCCTGGAGACCAGAAAACCGCCTTGCTGGAGAAATATATGATTACATCATGCATATATTAATGCATTACCAGGTACGTTATATAGTAGCAACTTCAGCTTAGGTGAGGTGCTTGCTATTAAGTTATTTTGCCAGAGATGCTGTTGCCAGTTGTTTTGCCCTGAAAATGAGCATGACTGTGGTTTTGCAGTTCTTTTCCAACCGTTTTCACCTTATTGGGTTATCTGCCTCGGCATGAGTAGCATCGCTGCATAAAGAACATCCACAAGATAGGGGAAACAATTAAAAATGTAGAAAAATTATCGGATTGCGTCATTTCTTAGCTGAGGAGAGAAAGCTGAGATCACAGAGGGATTTTATGTTCAAAGCACTATTTCTGTGGAAGTGCTCATATTTACTGGTGCTGTGAGGTTAATATTAAAATTAGCTGTGTGTGCAAACTGTTGTGCAGAGGGAATGCCCACACACAAGAAAAAACTGGGACAATGAGGCTTCATTTAGGAGTTAAAATTCCATTCTTAGGCAGTTTAAATTAAAATATAACGTTGACGTTTTGATTTCATAAATGCTTTGAAATTACAGCATTATTCAGTAACTCTGGTCTGCTTTCTTTTAAAAAGAAAACAAAACAAACCTAAATGACTTTAAATGCTTTGTTATCTGGCTTACTGACTGTAATATATCCAGTCCTATATTGACTAGGAAAGGGAACTTTCTAATGCATTTTTGAGTAGAAGTCAACATGGGTGAGTACAGGATGAGAAACACTTCTTGTTTCCCTTCATACAGAATATAAATGCAGAAATTCTTTTCATGTTGTAGTAAGAAAAAAGCTTAAAAAAATATTGGTGGTGTTTTTTTAACTTAAATGAAGTGGTAAATAACACTACCAAAATCTATGCATCCTGTCATCTTAGGTTATATTTTCTGCTTATCACCTTTATGCCTTCAAAACTGTGGGTGTACCTGTTACTGCATGCATAGAATAACTGGAGTTATAGGTTTATTTTTGCAGTGTATACCATCTGCTTAAAAGGAATGAGAGTCTGTTGCTTCTGTTGTCACCTGTATTGTCATTTCTTCAGTCTCAAGGGCTATAAAGGAGTATCTCCAAATAAGTTTTGTGGTAACAAGTTGCTTACAGTTTTAGTGAGTTGCGATAAGATAGATTGTCACAATAATAATCTTAATTCTTAAAACATCTTTCAAATCTTCTAAGGTTATCAGAGAATTACAAAAAGAGTGTTAATTATCTTAAAAAACAATCCTAATTATGATCATTATGCAATAGAAAGTCACTAAACCAAGGTTTCACAATGAAACCAGAAACAAAACCAAAGTATCGTGAAACTGTTCTACCGATGGATGGAAACACGTGAGCGAGGGATTCCAAGGAGGCAAAGCTTCATCTCCAATGGGTTCCTTCTGGGACAACCCAGTCACTGGGAGTGGATGTCTTTCCACGACTTATTGACCCCGATTGGTCCCTGGCTCTACATTTTGTTTTGTTTCAGCAGCGGGAACGGGTGTGGGCACACGGTGGGGGCTGCTGGTGCCCCACTGCTGCTGTGCCCAGAGAGGCATGGCAAGTGGTGACAGCCCACCCAGAGCTGTCCCCCAGACAGGGCAGCAATACAGACCTCACAGAAGAGCTCTTGACACCTCCGCAATATAATCCCAGTGTGCTTCCCATCAGCGGGTAAAATTTGGCTTTTCAGGGGGGCTGTGTGGTTGTCCTCTTAACTGCAGCTGGCAGTGACGCTCCCTTTTCTGCTTAGGGCAGATTTTTAATTGTATTCTAAAATAAGCTTTCTTAATCCTTTCCCAATAATTTCTTGTATGCATATTTAAGACAGCCAGCTATATAATCACTCCTCTGGTGCTCGTTTTCTTCTAGGACCAATTATGTAATTAGCAGGTACTGTATTAGCTTGTGTAACGGCTGTATTTCCCCACTAGCTATTATGCTCTCATAAACCACAGTGCAGCCTGCTTCTCCGTAAACTGGCAGCAGTCTATTAGTCTTTGCATCTTGTGGCATGTCAATCATATACAAGCAGGCATCGTGGGTGCAATTCTGATTTTTTTTTTTTTTAATAGAACACATTCTCCATTTCTGCACTGGTTAGACAATATATTTTTTATGCCTTTTCTAGAACAGAGAGTTTTTCAACAGCACATCACTGCTTTTCATGAACAGAATGGTTTGATATATTAGCTACGTCACATACACAGAAATGGTGCAAACAAGACTGCAGCCTACTGTGAAAATCAGATGATTGAAGATGATGAATGAGAAGGAATTTGCTCCCACAAGAAATTGTGTAATGGTATTTCTTTCAGAGAATGGTTCTCCCATTTGAAAAACAGCATGTGGAGATGTTATGTGCAAGGTTTCCTCTACTGAAGTCACTTTTGAATTGTAGAAGCCAGTCTGGTTTTGAATTGTCCTGCCCTTTTTGCAGTATTATCATCAGTGATCACCATTTTAAGCAGAAGCATTTTGTTTAATATAGGTATATAAGCGGTTCACAAGCTCTGTATACTTACCTCCTCTGCATCAAATTGAGTATGTTTCACCATACAGACCTGATTCTTGACGGATCTGTAGAGTAGATGTGTAAACGACAAAAAAACATTGAAGACTGGCTTTTGTGCTGCAAATACTAATGCATGTACTTCTGTAAAGTAAAAGTAGAGATTAGTATCTCCCCTCACCATCACCAGTATCAGTTCTTCAATCTCCACACTGTGCTGAAATGAAGATTGCACCAGCCAAAAGAAAGATATTTCAACCCTTAAGTGGAATAACTTACGCACGTAGGTGCATTGCTGAACATGCAGTTAGCTTATTCAGCAAGGATCCTAAAGTAGGCACCACAAAGCAAACAGTTTTGCTCCAAGAACAGCCAGTGAGTTGCAGGTTTTCCCAGATTTTCCCAGAGGAAAATTTCCCAGATTTTCCTAGAGGACTTAACTTTCAACAGCCTGTTAGATGATGCTGAAAGCACATGGAAGGCGCAGTCTTCCTCAGGATGTGGAACAGTACGGTACAGAATGCGCTGGCTCTTACACCCCTCTGGCACGAAAACACATCTGCCACTGAAAAGCCTGAAAAGTCCTGTCGTGCCGCCCGGGGAAGACGGAAGGGCACGGCTGGGCGACGAGGCTGCCTCCGGCGAAGCAGCGAGGCGGCAGCAGCCCTCTTCCCTGCCGCGGGTCTCCGTGCCGGGAGGGGGCGGGAGGGATGTGGCTTCCGCCTCCAACCCTGGCGGGGCCGTCGGCACCTCTGCTGGCCCTGGG